TCATATCAGAACAACAATACTTCAGACTTAACAGGAACACTTTCTCATCAAAGATGCCTCATTCCTGGCCTTCCAGAAGATACTCAGCACACAATGTATAATGTAACAAACTTTATTTTCGGTCCTCTAGTTATGCTCTTGGCTTTTCTTTCACTCACAAGTAACTCCCTTATAATGGCGGCTCTGATACGAGTAAAATCTCTTCGGCATCCTTCACTATTGCTACTGGGCAGTCTTTCAATAACCGACATATTGTTTGCGGTGTATGTCTTCGTTAAAAGTTTCGCGAGAAACATATACGAAGCTTTTTGCCCCGAGGAAATGGGCGAATTGGAACGTGGATTTGTGATTCTGTGTAATCTTTCTACCGTGGGTAACCTAGCACTTATCAGTAAAGACCGGTATTTAGCAGTAAGCAAGCCTTGGTTGTACCGTACTCATTTGAAGCGATCACGTGTTCTTAAGCAATCGTCAGCTATCTGGTTTTATAGCTTCTTTATGTCAGGAATGCTTTTTGCCTCATCGTATTTTACATTCATTCGTTTTCCAGTCCTATCATCAATTAGCCTGTCCTACATGATATCAGTAGTCATTATATTTGCTTCTTATTTTGGAATATTCATCGCAAACAAACGCCACAAGCGCACCATGCAGCAGCACAGGGGCCAGCTGTCTGCCATCTTAGAGCAAGAGAAGAAATTGGCCAACACTGTAGGTTTGATCGTAATCGCACTCTTTTTTACTTTCTTACCAGGATTTATTCTACGAGTTCTAAAACTTCTAGGACTTTTGCGCACTGTAAATATCCCTTTAGGTCCTTTTCTTAGGTTTTTTCTGACTCTAAATGGAGTTTTGAATCCGTTGTTTAACTATGGCAGAAATGGAAACGTACGCAGAGCAGTACGAGACTTAATCAGATACTCCTACACTAGAACTGACAGAGTTCAACCTTTCAACAGTAATGGCCGCAATCAAGAAGGAAGCCAGACACCTGTTAATCCTTCTTCCAATATTGCACAGGAAGCTGCTAATATACAAGTGTTAGCTGGTGGAGGTGGAGGTGGAGGTTTCGCATGACTAAACGCCATGCAAAACATGTCAGGCGAAAGGCAATGAAAGCGTAAAGAGATCGAGAGCATTCCTGAATATTGAAGCGAAATGAGTCGACGCTCAACTGGGAAAAGGGAATCACTGGACTCTGACAACCCGTGAAATCAGTTTAACTCGAAGTTGTCGTAACCTCAGTGCTTTAATAAATGAGAAATTTCGCCGGTCCTATTGAAACCGATCGTTTGTACAATAAAGCAAGTAGGACGCCAAGTGTTATTTTTGTTGAATAATAAAAGACTAATAAAAAGAATAAATATCAAACCAGAAATTGCTCTCTTCAAACTGTAAATTATCAATGATCCTGAGAGAATATTCACTGTGTTAAGGATTTCCCTGCTGTACTGTTAGCTCTATACAAGAGAGGAAGGGCGATTCTTTTTTAATTTCCGTTTCGCTGACACAGCTTTAGCAGAAATCTCTCTTTAGTCGTTTTCGTCGACAAAACGAATAGCAATATTGCTCTCCGCGTCTTCCGCCATTTTTTTCTGCCTCAATTCGTGAAGGACGCGTGGCTCTGAGCGTGGGTCATCCACGCGGAACACATTCGCGCTATGTGATTGGCTGTTGTCTAATCCCCCTTGGGATCTGTGGTCTTAAAAATAACTCGAGAAGAATTACCTTTCGAATAGGGTGTGTATGGAGGATGCCTTCTCTGTCCCCTTTATCCTCTCTTGCGTAAAACACAATAAAAAGAAAACATGTTTTCATTGCACAATTAAATTACCCCATTACATTAAAGATGTCCTTGTAATCCTGCGGCACATCTAAAGCCGGTGTTCATCCAGCATCCTGACAGATTTATTAGACGTCGTTAAACCGAAAAAGTAAGTTTGGTCTATTTCTTTATCTATTTAATTCTGTTCATTGGTCAAGTGGCACATAAAAATTTATCTTATAAGCTTATAAGGAGGACAGGTTGTGAAGGCAACAAAAAGAGAAACAGTAGTGAAAGCATGCATTTAAGGTCTTCCGAGAGAGTTTCTCGGAGATCATACCAATGTTTTTCAATCGCCTTAGAAGTGATTTTATTCTTGTCCGATCGCCACAAAGTTTTCACCAGTGATGGACTATGAACAGTGATGAATTAAAGTTTGTCAAAATGTAGTTTTTAGTAAAATCGATATCGCTATGACAACAATAAACAAAAAATTAATGAAATCGACTTAATCCGAATTTCGCGCGATACTAGACTTGCTACTGAACATCCGATACCAGGAGCTTAAAGAGTAATGTTTACCAAATAACCTCTGAGAAGTAAAAAATTCTGTATGTTTGAATTCAAATAAAACATAAATATATTTCAAACCTTAAATTTTCAATGGCCGTGATTAATTGTTAAATAAAAAAGTTCTAAGTTCTAATTAATCTTAAGCAACATCAGAAGGCATATTTCGATGCATGGAAATTTTGGTGTATTTTCCGGCTTTATTGTGATCCTGAAAACTAAAGATATTTCCTCAACACCTGTTTAAGTGCAACTTTATTCTAAATTTTGACTGTATATTTCTTACATTTGTCTTAAACCGCTCAACAGAATTTTTTTTAAACCTTATCACATATTAATCTTCATAATGTATATAATAATGTCTAAAACTTTCATTAAGATTGATTCACCGAAACACCTTGAAATTTCAAGAGGAACCTAGCCTACGAACCGACCAAAAATCCGCTTTACAATTCACTGTTTTGACGTTAATGCTCAGCCATACATACCTCCATGGCGTGAACATTATCAATGTTTTACATTCAAAATATGCAATAAAAGTCATACTAAAATGTACTAGTCTTGGAGGTGTGTATGACGAGCATCATCATCGTCAACAGCGCTGGACTGAAATGCCTTAAAATCAGCTTAAGGTTGCCACGATAAAAAGCGGTGTATAAAGAAGGTATTGCTCCGCAATTACTCTTGAAATTTTACAGGCGTGTGTATAGTGGACATGGTGGAAGGCAGTGTAAACTAAGAAAACCTTTTTTAAGTTACCTTAAAGCTTTTTTTAACAATTCAATTAGAATTAACTGTCGCGTTGATAATGTCATAAGACAATTGGTTCATGCCTTCGCTATGAGATAAGAACTAAAGAAACGTTTGGACACCAGGCAAGAGGCTAGAGTTTCACTATTCTCTTCCTCTTCGTACGCGTGCTCTCCAAACATCCCGCGTGCTCTTCATTTCTCGAAATAACGCACTTTAACGCATGAAACAATCGTTATAGTAAGACCCTGATATTTGAGTATATCGAGTGCTTTAACGCCGGCTGGAAGCATACACTAGCTGCCTACTCTCACGATTAGGCGAAAGGTGCTTAGAGAACTGGCTTGCTCCCAGGCTATTGTTTACTCTCTCTCCTCTCCCATCTAATTTCACCATCACTCAACCTAATCTAATCAGTATTTAAAGCTTTTTTTTTTTATACTGGAAAGCCAGTCAGCGTGTTCTGGGTGTACTGGGTGGGCATTAGCTATCAGTTTATAAATCTAAACGTATAGATTAATCTACTCTGATATTAAATCTTACACGCACAAGTTCAGTAAACGTTTTAGCTCAGTAACGAGTTATTCCCTATCAAACTATTATTGGAAAATATGCTGACTATCTGATTATTCTAAGCGATGCTATCACATTAAAATAAACCTGTCTCTTAATATAAGTAGCGGAAGAGATCTGACTCTCGAATGGTGTGCCAGTCTCTTCACCTGCCACACTATTTTTAGGTAAAGGCACATGCAGACTGTTTAAGCTATTTGGAAATGCAAGTTGATAGTAATTTTTAAACTTCGGTTCGAGCTCGCCAATGCGTAATCGCAAACTATCGTTTTCTTCTTTTACAATTTGTATTTCCTCTTTTGTCTTGTCACAAAGTTTTGTTTCATTGCTTATCTTCTCTTGCAAAGCTCGAAGATCCTCACGTAATTTACCTACGGCACTCGGTTACCTATGGAGTATACCCCTTTCCATTCCTAGCGTTTAATGGACACTCTCCCCCGAGCCTCACGAGGTTCTACGATACCCATATTTCTAGTCTTTCTTTCTTTCAGAATACCGTAAAATTCGGAAAATAAGCCCGTCCATGTATAAGCCCCTCAATATATAAGCCCCCTAAAATCGTAACGCAAAAACCCTCAGTTAAATCGCCCCTCCGAATGTAAGCCCCCCGGGGGGCTTGTACTTGGAATTTTCCCTCGAATGCAAAGCAAAACAAAGCAAAAATGGTGAATTTCCTTCCCACTACAAGCCAGCTTAATCAATTTTGAAACGCACATTTCCCTCCGTACATAAACCCCTCCGAATATGAGCCCCTCCAAAAATAAGCCCCTCAAAAAGGTCCATTGAAAAATATAAGCCCCGGGGCTTATTTTCGGAAGTTTACGGTAAGTCACTATTACGTCCGAACTCCAGCCTTGGTTCAAAATGACCTTTCTCGGTACTTTCACTTGGTGCTGTATCCTATGTCCTACTATTAAGGATTTACGAGGCCTTACAAATCTGCGTCAACCCCAAAACCTTTTTCTTGTGCTCTTGTTTAGACTTTTAGCTGTTGGTGAGTATTGTTGATGTGAATGGTCTCTGGATTGAAAACAAAACAGTTCAGACAAAAAAAATTAACAACAGTAGTAACAACAAAAAAAAACAATCATTTACCGACAAGTGTGATGCAAGAGAAAGACACTGTTTCTAATTCTTTTTTTACATTTCTGTTGCTGTTACTGCTATCGTACTATAATAATAAATATAACAATAATAATAATAATAATAATAATAATTAACTATTTCTAGCGCGCCTTTTACATGTAAATATGATGAAAAGCGCGTAATGATTACTGATTAATTACTGAGTACTGAGTACTGATCTTTGCGCCTTGAACGCTTAACATTTTGACTATATAAATCAGCGCACCCATAGGTTTAACGAGTAGGCGCTGGTCCCGGAACCACCATCATTGCCAAAATCTCTCTCAGGACTGAAATCGAAGTTAGCGCTGTTAGCTTCTGTTACCCCAATCCCGTGATCAGCACGTGAACAAGCGGATCCGCCGCCACCAATCATCATTACAGCTCCATCACCACTACTGTAGTCGCACCAGAACCCGATATAATTAGCGCTTTGGACGCTCCCAGAGCAAGTTGACATCGTAAAGCCATGAGTCGTTTGGTATTGTCCGCCGTATTGCACGGCACATTTTGCTAGACACTTGTTGCTTGCCCAAACTCGGCCGTTTCTGAAGTTACCATAGCTTGTTATCTTAGATCTGAATGTCTGCCCGCCCAAACAGTTACTTGTGGTCTTCAACAAAGCGGTTTGAGGGTTATCACTGCGCGTAATCTTGAAATGAGTTCCGCTGACAAGCCAGAATGCTGGAGAGATCATGTCAGAGTTGCTTGAGGGGACAGTGGTATGTCCATAAGCTACAGTTTTATCATACCACCATTCTCCAGAGTCTTTCATCCAGTTTGCAGCGTCGGCGTTCGAGAACCGGGCCACCAGAGTCCAGCCCTCTCCATTAGTCGTCATGTCACAATACACCTGAAGGTAAAATTATACGGTTGACTGAGTTTGGAAGCCATGTGGGGGCCGGGCCCTACAAGCTACAATAAAAATAATTTTAAAAATGGCCTAAAACATCTCCAAAAATGATCCCGGTTTCATCCGTCTAAAAAATCTCATAAAGTCCCCTAAAATCCTTTATCTTTATTTATAAAAAGGGTGACATAAAAATAATAATTGCAAAGTTTTTGTGAGCGACTTGGGAGTGCTCATCGACAACAATTTGACTTGGAAGCAACATATTAATCTTATTAATAAAAAAAATGTGTGAAACAGTTTGCATAATTGCTAGACTCAGATTCTTAGCAGACTATTTATAAAGCTCCTCTTTCCTCTTATTTGTCATATGGTATTTTCGCCTGGAGACAAGGGGTAAAGACTCATACTAACCCGATTATTTTTGCTGCAAAAGCGTGCCTTTTGTTTGATGGTGACTTTGGCCATTATACACCTCACGCGATTGCATTTTTTTCCCCCTCTCGTATCCTTCCTCTAAACATGTTCTATTTCAAATCAGTTGCTATTCTTATGCACGATATCACAAACAATTTAGCGCCACAAAATATTTTACGCTTATTCAACACTACTGATTAAGTACACGCTTATATTAAACACTAGATCCTCGTAAAGAGGAGATTACGAATCAATTAAATTTTAATGACTGGATAAACAAGGAAATCATTTTCAAGATTCGGCGCCAAAATATGGAATTGCATACCTCTGAGTATTAGAAAACTCCCAAAGCATAGCTTTAAAAAAAATACATGATTGCTTACTTTAAATCCTTTCACAGACAGACGACTATCCCGATCTACCTAACTTATTACGACAAATCCAACATATTCTCAATCTTAATCCGTAACTCACCCACTTATTATCTATGCAATCGTCTTAATAGTGTACGTTTGTACTTGTAAGTTTTTTTATTACTATTCTTTATTCCAGTTAATCTCAGTATTGTATTAATTAAATTTTCCCCTTTCTGTTCTTATCATTTGTACATTGATATAAATACTTTTGTTTACTTGTGAATCAGTGAATGCAATGGCTGGAGTGCGTAATCGTTTTTTATATGGACATTGCCCACCTAGACTAGCCTTTGCTACCTTCTTTGCTTTTTGTGGGCAGTGGGAAAATAAAATTGTAAATTTGGATTAATTAGTATTAATTAATAAAAATGAAATGAAATGAAATTTATGACATGGCTTTTCAGTGAGTATGTATGTGGATTCATTCAGTAACATAAAACCCGTCTTGTTCGGCTGAACGTAAACGAGTCTACTCCAAATTAATAATTCCATAGAAAAAGTGATTTCACCGCAGGTCGGATCAATTTCCCGAACTAGGGGCTATTTACATGGAGGAAGGAAGATCCTCGAAGGAAGAACAATTTTTCGTTGGGCTAACATGCTGAGTCGGTCCGTGTGGTTCCCAAGTAGAGAAAGTAGAGAAGGATCGAGAAGGAATTCAAAATGGCGGGTGACAAAAACAAAAATGCAATTTGGCAGGGGCACCCACGACGGTTTCCTCCTAGATACATTGAAATCGTTTTTTAGGCTATCCAGAGTACTTTACGATCTCTAGAAATGCATTCTAGGGGGCGCTATAAAATTTGTACCTGTTCGGACACGCTAGGGCAACTTGAGTCTTTTCGAAATTACAAGGGCTTCAGTATTATTTTGCAGAAAATTTTAGATACAATTTAACGTATTACGAAAGTGAGAATTTTTCTGATTCCTCGCTCCATGACATTTTTGAATCCGAAAATTTTAAGTTTCTTTTTTGCACGAAAAATAGCCTAACCTGGGCAGTGAAATGTAAAGAACTAAACTTCAGAAAATCGTAGGGAAATAATTAGATAACCTTCGAAAATTGTACATGAATGGAACAGTCATCTAGAAATTTTTAATCCTCCTCAAGCAATAGAAAATTCTAGGCAGCATTTGCTTCTCCGAACAGATACTTTAAAGAAAACAGTCGTTGGGTGCCCCTGATTTGGGACCTTTCGGTCCTTTCGGCGTTAAGCAGAATTGTCACAGCAGTCAGCAGGGGCACCCATCAACAATTTTCGGAAAAATATCTGTTCGGAAGACGATTTGAGATCTAGAATTTTCGGTACATTTGTTGTAAAATTTCTTGTTTGCCTGCCTCTCCTAGGATTTTCGGAAATCTAAAAAAATGGTATAATTGCCTATTTTTAACGAATTTTACCCTAAAAAGGTCACCTAGAATTTTCGGGAGCCTTTTTTCTGGCTAAAATTTTCGAAAAGGTAAGTTTTGATCCCTATAATTTTCGGATCACTTGACTTTCAGCTAGGAAATCCGAACAGATGAAAAATTTTTAGGGGATGAAAATATGCCTATATCTACCGTTTAAATACTAAAATACGTTTAACAATTCTATGTTTAAGTGGTTTTGAACTATATTCTCGTTGGGTGCCCCTGAGTCAGCGCTTGGCAGGACTCCTGGTAACGCCAAAGGTAATGCTTGGCCTTTATTGCAGTGATTAGGCACTGACCGACCCGTCGCTATTTTTGTTTGGTTTGTCCCTAGTACTGTATTTTCTGCCTATAGCGAAGGCAGTTTAGATGGTGCTAGTATCTTGCTAGTACTAGGATCTTCCAACCTCTCAGCTGTGAAGATCTTAGCGCTAGGGGCAAGTACAACCCTTTGCATGTAAACTGAATCTAATATATGGCGCTGGGATGATCCACAATGTAGGATCTTCCTGGTGCTAGAATCTTCCTCCCTCCATGTCAACAACCTCTTAGTTTCTACCAAAAACAATGTACTCTTACCCTTGAGAAACGTTAAGAGGCAATTAACCATTAATTACATTAATTTACATTAATATTTTGTTTTTTCTCCTTCCTTTCAACCGCTGCCTCAGTTCAGCAAAAAATCAATTTGAATAGTCTCGAAACTCACCCGAAACCTACTTACCGAAATTGATGAAGAGCTTGTTTGTAGTTGATAAATTCCGTCCGCTGTGTGACTGGCTCTTAGCGCTGCACAGGAACTGAGGTCTTATAAAGGAAACAAAGAAGCGTTGGACAAAGAGTTTCTTTAGTAAAAGGTGTGTTAATCTACTAAATAGACAAATAAAAAAATAGAAAAAATAAATAACGGTTTTTAGGGGAAGCACATCTCTATAGTCGTTCTTCGTCTAGCTTCCTTGGTTTCAGTGAGGAGAAGGGGAAACCGGTTTACCTGGACAAAACCCTCATGGAGCAAGGGAGAGAACCAACAACAAACTCAACCCAAATCTCGTTGCTTTTAATTTAAATCTTTTTGTTATTTGTCATTTGCTCAAGAAAAGCGCAATTTTATTTTGAAGTGACTCACTAAGTAAAGGCCTTATCTGGTTGTGCACCCCGTAAATTTTCTGTTCTTTCTTTTTTATTTTAGAGAAGAGAGGGGCACAAATTCGAAGGGGCAATAGGCTGCTCAGTATATGATCCAGTTCACGTTCCTATTTGAATAGTCGTCTTAGCCTGAAACAGACTTCTTCTTCCTTGTTTTTAGCTAATAAATATACATAACAGCTGACAGGAAAATAGTTTCTGCTGGTCTAGTGATGTGCCATGTCACAGTAAGACTGACATACCTTGTTCGCACGTATTTCCATCTCCTATAAACCCGGCATTACAAGAACACGTATAAGAGCCAGCATTGTTCTGACAGTTGGCATTGACGTCACAAACGGAAGGTGAGAAACTGCACTCGTTTATATCTATGGATTAAAAGGGAAAATTTCAAAAACAGAAGGTGTTGCTATAACCTCCTATCACAGCGATTAGATCATTATTTTTTTGGTAACTTTGAGCTCACTCCAGCCTAAGAAAACAGCCGATAATGAAGGCTGGGGATGGGGAACGAGCAGAAATTTCATACTGATGACAGCCCACTACCCAGATTTGGGTAGCCTTCTGATTGTTTGAAGGCAGCATATTCCCCTCGCGGCACGTGCAATCAGAAGTACTACTAGGATCTGGGCAGTGACACGTCATAGATATCATTATTTCTACGTTCGTTCCTCAGACGTCATAAATCCAGTGGTGACGTTGCGAAATCTCTGCTGTTTTCTCAGACTACAGGCTCACTCCGGCTGTTAGACAAATGAACGGTGCTATCTTACCCGTACACGTGTTCCCATCTCCAGTAAATCCAGCGTTACAAGAACAAACATAGGACCCTATATTGTTCTGACAGTTGGCATTGACGTCACAAACGGGAGCTGAGGCACTGCACTCGTTAACATCTATGGATCAAAACGGAAAACATTTAAAAATAGCAGGCAGTCTTCTTCAGTAGCACTTTCCTGTCCTTTGGCCTGTGGTAACTTTTTAATACAACAAGTGTCTGGAAACGGGGGGTCCAGATCCCGCGAGAACGAATATTCTTGCTTTCTTTCCCAATCTCGTATCCGTGCTCAAATTTTGGTGAATCCCGCTTCCCAGGTGGCATTCAAATCCTGTATCCCTTCAACGTTTCCCATACCATGCACCGTACTTTTGGCTTGTATCCCGTATCCCTGGAATACCCTTCCCGACCCTGATCTAACTCCTCCAGTAAAAAGAGCTTCACCTAACAGGAATACTGAAGGATATATCGGGGTAAGCCGATTGCACTTTTTCAGGGCGCTTGTGGCCTAGCTCAATTGTAAACAAAATCAAAAGTAAAACATACCTTTTCACAGAATGTTTACCATCAAAAATAAAAAAACAAGAGAGAAATAACTCCGATTATAGCATGTTATAAACTTTGAAATCTTGGACGCCTTTTTGCACGTTCGACAAAATTTGGGTTGTTGCTAAACACGAAAAGCTGAATAAAAAGAACCACAAATGAAAACGGTGCGATCTTACCTGTGCATGTTTTCCCATCTCCAGTGAAACCAGTGTTACAAGAACAAACATAAGAACCTACGTTGTTCTGACAACTGGCATTAACGTGACATACAGAGGGTGAAGCACTGCACTCGTTGACATCTGTGGACAGATTAAAGAGACAGTGTTCTTTAGTTCCTTTGGCTAATATTCCAAAGGATGGACTTCTAATTAAAATTGAAAAATAAGAAAGTTTCTCATTTCTGAAGACTTTCAAATACTATAATAGCACAGGTTGCAGTTATAGAGCTTACTGAAAACATTCTATATAACCTAAAGAAAGTTTCTGAAGCATTTGGATAAAAGGCCACGCCGTTAATTTGTAGTTCACTCTCGGTGTTGTCCATTTGAAAAGGCTCAGTGTAACTGAAAATAACACTGCACTCTTTGACACCAGCGCACTTAAGTCGCCAAAATAAAAGAGAAAGCATGGTTCCTCTCTTTTACGCATTTACAATTTGTTGTAACTGACTGATAAACAAAGCACGTATAAAAGTGTGCGACACTGGGAAACAGTGAAACCGAGCTGCTCCAAGCCTTTGTTTCAAAGCGAGGCGACGTGCGGATCTACTGATATGAAAATGATTTTTTTATTCCCATGCAAATAAAAAACGGAAAGAAAGAAAGAAAGTGAGAGGTTTTGGAACTCGGAAATGGCCTATTATTTTTCTATTCAAGTTAGGTTTATGGCAGGAATATGATTATTTTTGCAGAAGCATATTTGTATTCGTCTCACCAGTACAGTTCCTTCCATCACCAATGAAACCAACTTTGCAGGAACAAAAGTAGGAACCAAGCGTATTGGTACAGTTGCCATTGATGACGTCACAGACGGCTGGCGCTGTGCATTCATCGGCATCTGAAACAGACACACAAATCTGAGGCTAATTGTTCACACTGTACCTGCACGAAAGTCAGGGGCGCCCAATGGATCTGTTCCTCAAAGTATCTGTTCTTCAGGAAATTTTTTTCAGTTTTGGCTGGAAGATTGGGAAAAATAATATGCCCTTTGAAGGATAGTATTGCTGGCAAATAGCTGCTATGGGCTATTTGTCTGAAAACTCCCCCCTCCACTGAAGTGCTTAATTTTGCCCTATGACCACTCCCAACTGGCCCGTGATGTCTTCTGGGAAACTTCCCAGTAAGTCAGGTTGCAGGTTGTAGGTGCACCTTGCTTACTGGGAACTCTTCCATCAGACTTGCTGGGAGTGTGGTACAGATAACTTTTTTCCAACAACCTCCCAAAATGCTTAAAATGGCTTCAGAAAGCTTTATTCACGCTTTGTTGTTGTTTTTAGGTCTTTTCTCAAATCTTCTCTTTGGATGTCCCGGGAAATTCATATCGGATACGGCTTCTGTTCACACATACATAAGAAAGGTGATTTAGGCGCTATTTCTGCAACAGAGCCAAGCTCTGCCGTGCCGATCTCGAAAGTGGAGCGTCACACATCTGTACCGCACTTTGGTGTATTTTGCATCCTGATGTGAACAGGTATTCGAGCCGTAGCGGAAGTGAATAAGTAGAAATAGCATCGGAATCTCCTGAGATGGAAGTTAGGATTGAAATGTGAGGATTGAGATTTAGTAGGTAGGTAGGTAAATAAGTAGGTAGCAACTTTATTTAATGAGGGTAACACATGACAGTAAACACTGATGAACTAATGGCCCTCAATCGTAATTAAAATATTTAGAACTAATAAAAATAGACACGACGAATTAAACTTTAAAAATACTACAAGATACAATCCTAAATTTACGATATTAAAAACTTTTAAGATAAACACAACGAATTTAAAAATACAAAAAGAAAAGAAAAAGTGATTGTACATTTGAATTTAAAAATATCGATGAAAACATATCTACACGCAACTAATGCACCAAACCCTCTCGCCCAAACCCTCTCGGCCAACCGTTCCGGCTGCACCATGTTTGATGTGTATGAACGACTTATTCCAGTTCCTGGTGCTGTTGCTGTTCACACTATGTCGGATAGCTTTTTGCGCCGGCACGAAAACCTTTTCGTCGTGTGAACATAACCTGAGATGACTTTGATGACTCGAAAATTAAGTCACTGACCTTCTGTTTCCATATTGCAGGGAAGAAGAATTATCTTGCCGGGTAGAACCGAATCAAACCAATAGTCACCACTGACTGCTTGTCCAAGTTCACTGGCTTTGATTTCTTTGCAAGTTTCGGCAGGTATCTCAGGAATAGAACCGAGTGGGACTGCAAAGCAAAATAATATTCTGAGAAAGAGACGTAGTCGATAGGAAGCTGCGAGGTCTTGATCGTTGACCTCAACACAGTGCAGTCTAAATGCACTGCAACATGAAGTGATCTCTCGTTAGTGTTCTTGTGGAATAAGTCAGTCTTTTTACCGCCCCCCCGCCACACCCTTTTTTTTTTGGGTAGGAATATGCCAAGTGGAATGTCAAACCCTGACTCCTTGTTCAGATTGTTGCACCACTTGTTAATTCAGGTAACATATTTATCCAAAAGACCATGAAACAGTATTAGAAAAAAGACAAACAGAGATAATACTACTTAAAAATACATAATTTATACTTAATTTATACAGAAGAGATCAACAAATGATTGAACAGTATGGTAAACAACGCTTAAGCTGCTCTGTGAATGGGGGAGACAAATTCGCACTGCGCTGATAAACTTTGTTTGGTCTTACTTTAAAAATCGGTTAGTCATGATTTTCCAGTGTCGTTTTCGACAGCCCTTCCTTTCAACTAATTAGGCTGACCAAGCTGAAACTAAAATTTTCATTTTGTTTTCCTTCAAACAATTTTCATGCCAGGAATGAAATTTTTCAGTCCCACAGCCCACATCCGACATGGAATTTTTCATCACACATTTATCATTCTCATGGCCTAAGTGTTTGGTGTGTGAAATATAAACTCGTCCTCACGATTATCGCTTTTTTACTAAATGGCGGCGGGGCGCTATCGAGTTAGAACACCCTGTTCTGGCAAGACACAATTTGTCAGGCACCATAAAGGCTAGCTTTGGGGTCATTAAAATTGACCACGTTTGTGAAACGCATCTGCCTATATCAGATCTTCTCTCGCTTTGCCGTGTAGAGAAAACCTTCATTCCGACGATGGCACTTTCCCATTTTTTTTCGTTTTTGGAAACTTCCCTTTTAGTCTATTTCCAAGCCGTCAAGGACCGGTTCTAAAAAAACTTGCCTGATTTTGCAGTTCTTTTAAAATAGTATCTTTTAGAGTCAGGAACAAAATCTCCAGGCCTGGCTTCCTTGGTCCGGTTGTTAAGCTTACACACGTCTCTCATGATGACATAATTAAAGCTTCGACATCTGATGTCATTGTTGCACGCCTGAAGACATTCATGGGGAGTTGATACCTTTATCGTTTTAAATATGTGTCCTCTTAGCATCTTGCCAAATATAGAGTATTCTCCATTGTCACAATGCTGAGGAATGACTATGTAAATCATGTGACACAGCGTAAAGGGTAGTAAAATGTGGAACAGCATTGTTGAATCCATTCTGTTGATAGTAAGGGTAACTATTATCGATAACCACATAAATCAAATACTTTCTTGAACACTTAAACTTTGCCGCTAAATAATGAACAAAAGTTAATGATTTCAAACATAAGACTGAATAAATGTTTAAAAAGCGAGACAAAAACGTGTCCCAGGATACACGCAGCTATGAATATATGGCTGTTATTTCTTTCCTTTGTACTTTGTCACGATGGAAACAGTACTCATCTAAATTTTCACTGCACCCGCCCCTAAAATACTATTGAATTCCTCGCACACTCATTTCTCAACATCTCTATTCTTATATAACCTCGCACTCTCACACGAGGCCTTTCTGTTTTTCCTCCCATCTCTGCAGTTGATGCCTTCACAATTTTAAGACCGCTTTTAAGATTAGCTTTTTGTATTTTCAAAATAAATTAATGGAATTTTAAGGCCTATACGTCAAAAGATAAATGTGAACTTAAAAGTCCTTCAAACATTTCTAAAAGCTTCTAAGCCAAAAAGGCGATAATGATACACCATAATAAACTTGAACTTTAACGTAGTGTGACTGTCAAGCAGAGATCCATAGACACATTTCGCGATCCCTCGCTCCATACAATCGCCACATATGAAACTTACTAAAACAAAATAGTCACACTGAGTTACTATAAAATTAATAAACGGTAATCCCAACAGTTTTGTGTTGTGAACTTTACGTATTATAGAGAATTCTACTTATTTATTGTTAGTTTCAAGTCAATTGATTTCGCGCCAGTTTGCATTGTAAAAAAAACCTTCACTCAACAACATATAAATTTTTTTAAATCGACTGAATTGTATAATTTATCACAGGCCTTATATATATATGTCGCCACAATATTTAATGTACACTGAGTGAGTCTTTATAATTTGTTCACGGACGTAATTTTCAAGAACGCACATTTCAAGCTTCTTTCTACGATTAATTGCATCGGGTTTTCTACACCCATGCAATGCCATGCCGTTATCGATCGTTTGTTTCTATTAATTCCGATGAAGGATATACGAGAAGAAGCTTGAAAGACCTTCGTCACCTAAAGAAGTAACTATACCATTTTTTTGGCGGTATAAGAGCAAGGTTTCAAATTAACACTTTGAAGATCAGTGAACACCTCAAAATATAGTGCCGTGGGTTCAGTCACTGACTAAGGCCCGGTTCAGACGCCAAACTTTTCATGAGCCGAACCCTGAGCCGAACCTCATACATTGAATTAAGTGCATGAAAAGTTCAGCGTCTGAATCAATTAGGATGCCTATTTCAATTTGGAATAGCTCAGCCGTACGTTCTTCACGCAGGCTAGCCCGGCCGGGAATTTCGACTGTGGAACGAATTTGGAACGGCCTTGATTCAGACACAAAACGTTTCATGTACCAAACCTAATGCATAAATTATAATAACGTATTTTGCAAGCAGTTTGACCAAAATGAGTATTTTTCTTCTTTTGAATTTAGCTCGGATGGAATTAAGATCGGCGTCTGAATCAGCTCAAGGGGTCTAAATAGTTTGGGTCGGTCTTAATTCGAATTAGGTTCGGCTCATGAAAAGTTCGGCTTCGAGTCGGGCCTAAAAATCAAGTCTTACTGGCTTCTATTCTATTCAGATTTGCCTGAATATAGCTACAAATATAATAGTTAAATAAAAGTGGGCCTAAACAGTCTAAAAATGCACACGGACCTGATTCTCAGCCTTTTCTTGCCAAAGCCCGCTTCGCGTGTTCCTCAAAAGAACTCGTCATTAAGGCCCGGTTCAGACGCCGAACTTTTCATGAGCCGAACCTAATACATTGAATTAAGGCGGTACATGAAACGTTTGGCGTCTGAATCAATTAGGAACGCCTGTTTCAATTTGGAACGGCTCAGCCGTTCTTTTCGGCTAGCCTGGCCGGGAATTTCGCCTTTGGAACGACTTTGGAACGGCTTTGATTCAGACACCGAACTTTTCATGTACCTATTAACCTAATGCATAAATTATTATGACGTATTTTCTAAGAAGTTTGAACGAAATGAGAATATTTCTCCTCCTGAATTTAGTTCGGCTGGAATTAAGATCGGCGTCTGAATCAGTTCAGCCCGTCCAAATAATTTGGTTCAGTCTTAATTCTAATTAGGTTCGGCTCATGAAAAGTACGGCGTCTTAACAGGCCTAACGCAATTAACTTTACCCGCCATAGCAAATTAAACACAAGAGACATGATTTTTGCAAGTTATATCGCCATAACAAACATAAAATTAATTCACCTTACCTATCTTTAACTATCTTCGTCGAAGTCTCCAAAATCACATATTTCCAGCTAAAAAAATAAGACGGCTTCTCTAGTCTGGAGACAGGTCTTGTGTTCGTCAAAGTGTACTTGTTTACCGAAATGATGACATAAACAATTTACTAACATTGTAGCTAAAAATACCCTTTTTGTTTAATTATAACTCTTACTATGATTAATTTTCGCTAGAGAAGCCACAAAAGGTTTTCCCCTCTGTGGGAGGCTTTCCTAACCAGAGTAATTGCGGGCCTGAATTGACTTCCTACCGGAGACAGGAAAAATTTTTAACTCACCTACTGTTAATATAATAAACGTCCATGAAAGATTATGTCGTTGTTTTACTTTCGTCATCGAAACAGTTCAATGAAACATTCAACACTGGTTACCAAGTTTTTTAATCAATATTTTTTGTCAAGCTTTGACAACTTTGGACGGATGCTACCGTGGCTCTCATCCAGTACATCATTAATTGCTACTTGATGTAGCTGTTATTTTAGGAATCCTTGCTTCTTACTGTAACAACAGAAATTATGCCTAATTATCTTTCATGACTGGACCCCTCACTGTGCAATGAACTCTACCTAGGCCTTCCAACATCCTGTAACATTTATTCATTGGCCAATGACATCAGTGTCACGTTCTTAACAGGTGACTTACCCTCTGGGTGACTGTCAACTACACAACCTAAAAACTAACTAGAAAATTCACCCTGTAAATTTCAAGTGTCTTTGGCCCTCTGGTTGAGTTTTCTGCACTGCATGAAAGAGCCAATTTTTGCAATTTCAATTTAATTTAAAAATCAATCTTAAACGTGTTGGTGATGCAACTGATTCTTCCTTTGGTGAGTCCACTTCCTCGAAAACTGATCAGCGCTAATCCAGGGTTATGCGGAATTTTAAACAAAATTCCTCTTCCGAAAACACATAACTGAGCTTTGACAAAGTATTGATGAAAGCGTACGTTTACTTAACCCAAAAATGACCGCTCAGAAAAGTCTATGAGAAAACTGAGCTCTGCTCTCTTTTGGAAAAAAAGAAACAACAACAACAACATAGTAAAATATCTTGATCAATAATTTACCTCTTTCCATCATAATTGCCTACTTACACTGGAATACTTCTCTCAAACAGACGAGTCAAGCATAGGGTCCGGTAGTGCAACAGCAAAAAAGAAAAGTTTGTCGCCACTGTATCTAGAGCACGAGATAAAATGGCAAACATAGTGGGTTTGATAGCAATGGTCACTCTTTTCAACTTTTATAACCGAGCGGCGGTCACTTTGTCTTCCTATAGTCATGAATGCAAATGTAATTGTGGATCTACCGTCTCTTTCCATGCACAGTCAGGACGTTAACATACAAACAGCACTTGACATAAACAGTATTCATGCCCGAAACTTAGAATTATGACTGAATTAAGTAAAAAGAGAGAATACTAGCAGTGTATTTTATCCAGGGTTTTCTCGGAGCAACACAGGTAGCAATTAAGGGGACTAGTATGAGAGATTAGTACTGACAGTGTTTTTACTTAAACCGTGAAATAGGTAGTAGAATTAGTACTACCGCACTATTATGCACTATTTCTATTGTCTTCTCTTGTTTATCTCTCGCTATTTTACACTATTAATATATTTGTTAGTATCTGTTTAACTGTTCAAGTAAAATCACTCTTCTATTAGAAAAAAAATCGCTTGGTCTTCCTTCGGTTGAACATGAAGTAGTGGTTTTATGAACTGAAAATTAATTACGTAATAAAGAAAATCAATGGCTGATGGTTCAGGTAAAAGCAAATGAACGGTTGTTACTCAGGCGTCAAAGTATGATGCGAGTTCTAAAGGTGGTTTAATTTAATTCTGAATTTTAGGCTGCCCCATTTTACACTTAATCCCTCCATAACTTCGATTGGTCTCACCAGGCGTTCGACTGGTCACGGTAAAATGAGCACATAAATTAAAATTGTTACATGAGAAGGAATTAAATGGAAAGTGGTCGTTTGTCATTTTAACCAGGCCTAATAGGAAGTTAGTGTAACGGTCTTCCACTTTAATTAATAGCTGTAACACTTTGTAAGAACGAATCAAGCAACCCGAAAGGTGTAAGTTTTCCGGCTATGCCTTGCTGTCTGCTAGATCTAAAATCGTAAAACACTCGTTTACAAATGCTGATCCACCTCTCCATGAGCTGCCGTAGGAGCACTGTTTGGCGAATTTTAGCTGCATAATAAACACAGGATTTTTGCAATGCCTTGGTAGTTAAAACACTAAGATACAGTCAGCGATCATAGGGACTTGCTGGCTGCCTGAGGTTATACTATTACTGTTCTAGGACCAACTATCTTTCCTTGGTTACCAATACCCAGCTGGCAACATGAAAGAATTAATTTGTTTTATTTATTTATTTACTCTCTTAATCATCTAATTATTTATTTATTCTACACCGACGTCGGGATGGCGGACATAATTTTCAACTTAATTTACTGTTAGTAATAAACGGAATCGTGACAGCACAAGGATTCTTGGCCGAGAAAACATCAGACCAAGCTGCTTTACCGAACCTGCTGTGGACCTCCCATTGGCAATAGAAAATAAATAAAATTATCTCTCGCTTTTATATTTTACTCTTTTATCCATTGACTCCTACATGTATTAAAAGATGCTTGGGAACAATGTAATACTGTCCGGGAAGAAGCTCCAACATGGGCATTTAATTTTAAACTTGAACGAGAATATATTTAATAGGAGGTCGCTGAACTAAAA